CGCCCCAAACCGCGGGCACCCCCGGCAGCGTCCCAGCCTGCACCCCAGGGCTGGGGAAATGGGGCACAGCACAGCGGAAGGGCCAGTAATCGTGGGGTTTGGGCTATCTCTAACCCTTGCCTCCCCTCCCAGGTGCCAGGACGCACAGGATTGCACAGGGAGAGCGTAGGGCCCCGGGGGCAATCCCAGAACCGTGCCTCAGTTTCCCCACCTGTAAACCAAGACCAACGGCCTAATTCCGTACTGCTCTCCAGCTTACACCTTGGGGAGTAATTAGCACTGACATGCTGGAAGGTGGCAATCCTAATTCTGTCTGATTTCCTAGCAGAAGTGCTGGGACTGGAGGTGGCAGGGAGGACTGGTGGCTGCAGGGATGGCTCACTGTTCGGGAAGCAGAGTAAGGGATGCGCTGCCGGCACGGGCAGCTGATGGATGGTGGGTACCACTGCTTGTCCCCAGCATGTCAGCCTGGCTGAGGGCAATGCCCGTGCCCGAGCCGGGCAGGACAGCCGTTACCTCCCCGCTGCCCCCCTTGTCTTGCCTGGCGCTGACGGACTCTCCTGTATCGCTTTTTAATTATTTCACATGTACGAGTGCCACCAGCTTCAGCAGCTCCCAGGCTAATTGCATCAGGCAGGTGCTGGAGTAACACAGTGCAACTTCCTCAGCTGCCTCACCATGATGCGGATAATTGGTTAATGTTTAAGTGATTTGGATTTAATTCACAGCTCCTGTAATGGAGATGGGCAGGGGAGGCCTTGTTGGGTGGGGGGGGAGTGTGGCTGAGCTCTTCTGCCAGGATGGTGTGATGCAGAAGTGACCTGCAGGAGATTCCTTTTTTTTCATGTGGGTTTGCTGGGGCTGAGCTGGGAGCTCTGGAGTCCAGATCTGCTCAGGGGTGCTGGTTTGGGAGAGGCTGGGCTGGGGAGGGGAGCTGTGCAGGCTTGGTGTTGCTCTGTGGTGGGGTGGGCTGGGGAGCTGGGGTGATGGGCTCTGCTGGGAGCTTGGGCTGGTGTGCTCCCCTGTCATGAGTTGTGCATGGTCTCAGTGGGTCCCACTGCAGGCTGGGTGTGAGGAAGGTTGTCCTGGAGAGCGTGGGAGAAGGTCTCCCCAAGGTTCAGCTTGTGGCACGGGGAGGGCAAAGCAGCTGATGGTGAAGCGCTGCTGCCTCTTGCCTCTGCAAATCTGTGGTCTCTGGATGGGCTGTGAGCAAAGCCACCCAGTGCTGGGGGCTGCCCAGGGCTGTGTGAGAGCTCAGGGTTGCTGCTTGGCTGGGTGCTGGCGGCCCCCTGCACCCCCCACAGCATCCCGGAGGGAGCCGTGCCTCAGCCTGGCTGTGCCCGCACCACGGTGGGCCACCCCACCGCAGCCCTGGGAGCCACGGAGCAGCCAGCTCTCCAAATGCTTAGTTAAATTATATTTATTTTTAAAATTCTTGAATCTTCTTGGCAGGAAATAGAATTTCCCTAAAGAGATTTTTCTAGTGGGTGAGTGAATCGAGGATCCCTCCTGTCTTCCCAACAGCCTCCCTAGGAGCTGACATCGGTGCAGTCTTTAATCAAAGTAAGACCTTGTCCTCCCCAGCCCCTGGCAGGATCTCGCACATATGGTCCCTCTCGCAGCGGCTGACGGTCCCTGGCACGAGGCCACTGCATCCGTCTGGACCTGCCGGTTGCTCCGGTGTGGACAGGGTCCTCTGAGGATGCCAACCTACCTGGCGCTGGCACTGGCACGGCGGGGCCCTCAACCGCCACCCCCCC